ACCCACACCCACACCCACACCCACACCCCACACCCACACCCACACCCGGGTTATCCCGAACAATTCCTAATGGGCCGATTTGGCCTCTTATGCGCCCCCGTCCTTTGAAGAATCCATGGAATCAAAAGAAAAGAATTTTGAAAATCCTTACTCCACATCCTTATTGCTAGGAAAAATGTTTAAGAAGTTTTTGATTTAAGAATGTTCGTTAATTTAATAATTATATAGTTGATATATTTCTCTGTGAATGATTTTCATGAATGAAAATATCTATAGTTTTTCATAATGAAGAAGCGAAATGGCGTATTAAAAATGGAGAAACAAACAACTTAGAACTGAATGGTAAATGCGATTCACTTGAAACCTTTTTCACAAATTTCTTTTTTAATTTTTGCATTCAATCAATATCATGAATTTCATGCATTGGAACAAGAGACATCTTAAAAATAGATTATTATGACATGTTTATTTCTTTTTCTCTTATTAAAGATTTGAAAATTATCTTTACATTGAAATATAATGATGGATACTACAAATTCAATTGCTCAACAATTGAATATCTACAATGGAGAGAGTATGGGCAATTATCGAAATGATAGATTTAAAGAGCCCATTGCGTTAATTGGAATGTCATGTGCTTTTGCTGGTGGTATTGATACACCGGATACACTATGGAAACATTTGGTAGAATCAACAGATATTGGAAATGAAATTCCAAAAGAAAGGTTTGATATCGAATCTTTTTCTGCTCATGTTTTTGAAATTAATCCAACAATTAAAAAAACTCTTGTACGTCGTGGATATTTCTTAAATAATGATGTATTAAATAATTTTGATCCATCATTTTTTGGTATTACTGATGGTGATGCAATGAAAATGGATCCTTGTCATCGTATTTTGCTTGAAAAATTTGTTCATCTTATCGAGGACGCCGGTTATACAATGGATGAAATAAAAGGAACACAAACAGCTGTTTATATTGCGCAATTTTCTCGAGATCATGAAGTAACAGTTGATAAACAAGATATTGAAGCATATTTACACTTATTTGGTACAAATGTTGGTATACATAATGCATCAGCACGTATTTCATATCATTTTGGTCTTCATGGTCCCAATCTAGCATTAAATACAGGTTGTTCTTCATCACTTCAAGCTGTTCATCTTGCTATTCAATCTTTACATAATGGTGAAGCTAAAATGGCTTGTGCTGGTGGTGTCAATACAAATTATACACCAGAATTACTTTTTGCTGGATCATTATCAGGAGCTCTATCACCTGATGGAAGATCTCGTGCTTATGATATCAATGCCAATGGATATGCAAAAGGTGATGGTATTGGTTTAGTACTTTTGAAACGTTTAAGTGATGCTATTATTGATAAAGATCATATTTATTGTGTTATTCGTGATGTAATGTCAAATCATGATGGTAATCAGGATAAGCCTAGTTATACAGTACCATCATCATATGGACAAAGTTTACTTCTCAATCAAATTTATTTCCGTAATAAAATCGATTTAAAAAATGTACTCTATATTGAAGGTCATGGAACAGGTACACAAGTTGGGGATCCTATTGAAGCAAATACACTTGGAAAATTTTTTAATCGTGCACAAAATCAAACACCGCTTTTCATTGGTTCAGTTAAAACAAATATTGGACATACGGAAGCTGTAGCAGGTGTTGCAGCTTTAATTAAAGTTGCATTATGTATGAAATATCGTATGCTTGTACCTAACATGCATTTTAGTCGTATCAATCCAAAAATTTATTCAAAAAAATACAATATAAAAGTTGTTAATAATTTTATTCCATTTCCAACAAATAAACCTGTTATTATTGGTATTAATGCATTTGGTGTAGGAGGTAATAATGCACATGCTATTGTTAGTGAATGGCATGACTCAGAATTAAAAACTGAAAAGCAACAAAATGATATGGATAGTGATTTATTAAATCCTATTGAAAATAATTTTCAAAATCAACTTGATACAAGTAAACAATATTTTTTGTTAGTTTTATCAAGTGAGTAAAGCTTTTAAATTGAATTAAGTATGATTAAATTGATATTATTTTTCATTTTTGATATTTTTAGCAAAATGTAATCAATCGATGAAAAAACAAATTGAAAATTTTTCATTATGGCTATCAAGAATTCCTGAACAACTTAAAAATGAATATCAACAAATGTTTTTTGCTTATCTATCCGAAAAACTTCTACTGAAACGAACAACAAGTTTTTCACACCGTACAACATTTGTATTTTCAAATATAAATGAACTTGAACATCAATTAACATCGATATCAACAAATACAAACTATCCTGGTGTTCTTCTCACACAACAACAAAGCCAAAAGAATTTATCCAATATTTGTTTTGTTTTCAGTGGTCAAGGTCCTCAATGGTGGAAGATGGGACGTGAATTATATTATGCTGAACCTGTATTTCATTCATGGGTTAATAAAATAAATCAAGAATTTAGTCTTTTAACAAATGATTGGATATTAGTTGATGAATTAATCAATACTAAAGATGAAACTTGTTCGCGTATTAATGATACCAATTTTGCGCAACCAGGTAAGAAACGTTTGTTTTTTTTTTAATTCGTGCTCGTGATAAACACTATTTGGAGTATTATATTTCTCAAACTTTAGTCATTCTAAGATGTATGAATAGCTCTTTTATGAGCAGATACAATATCAGTTTAAAATGAGAGAAATAGACTCTAAAAAAAACTAAAAGGATTAAAGGTTATCAAAGAAACTAGTTCATAAAAAAAATGAAGTTGATGAAAACGTGAGATGTATAAAAGTAGAAGGGAGTACGTTTGATTTTTCTATGACTTAGTATATTATGTAGATAATAAAATCAGTCACTTTTCTTCTTGATCATACAACTATGCTATTAAATAGTTGAATCTTCGTCATTCCATATGATTTTCAAACTCATAAAAAAAAAACATTTGAAAGAAAGAACTTCGTAAAACCGATAAATGATTAGCTTCGAATTAATCTTAGCTTTTGTTTTTGGCTTAATTCTTCGAAATAGTTTTGTGTTATTACAAGTAAAAAAACAAATATACTACTTTGTTCAATATGCAAATATGCACATGATAGTACGAGTATCAGAGTTTCAAAGAACCAGTTTAACTCACGATCGAATGATGTTTAATGATAGAAATTCACAATATCTTGAGGTTTTCGCAAACTTTTTTTTCTAAACTTAAAAAAAACATTCAATCTTTACATACAGTTATATTTTTGAGTATTGAACTTTATCAGTAAGCATTTATATAAATCTCTGTTTATCCATAAATAAATCTGAAAATCTCGGATTTAAATCCGAGAGTTACGTGTACTTCAAAAAGTGAATGAGACAGATGAGTCATCCTAGAATGTGGGGCCATAAAAATTATCCTGGCAAACCTTTTTTATAAACACTTGTTTTCTATTGGCTACTGCTCAATTAATAGGATTTAGGGGCGAATACAGCTCAGATTTGAACTCTTCCCCTTGATTTATCCTAAGAAAGCCGTTTTTCTTATAACTTGATTTCTATTGGTTACTGCTCAACCAATGGAATTTCGAGGTGAATGGAGCACAGATTGAAGTTCTCCACCTCAGAAAATCTCGAACTATTATCTCTGTGATCGGAAGATAGAGCTCTAATTGTGAATCAGCTAGAGCGTGGACAAGAACAGAACCGAATTTCATTTAATTATCTTTGGAAACGGTGAGTTAACTTTCTTGTTTCCTTATGTTTTATATACCATTTTGTAGCTCATGAAATTCTCTATCGAATGGTACACAATAGTTGGAGTTTTATTTGACTATGATAGGAAACGTTTTTTACGAAAGCGGAGATAGGTCAATCTTCCCATAGGGACGCATAGAGAAAACTGACTATTTTTGCAATAACTCAGCAATGGCTCGGCCAATCATTTTCATCTTCGAACTCGACCGAGATATTGTTGAGACTAAACTGTGTAGAAAATTTAATCGCGATCGGACTCTTCTTTCAAAAGTTATCATGTAAATGGATGAACAGTCAGCCGGACACACTGACCGATTCTAGTGTACTCACTTTTTGAGTACACAAAAACTGGAAGAAAAATCTTTAGAGATACATATAATTTCAATTGATCTTGAACAAAAGACCAGTATAGAAACCTATTTCGATCTAATATGATTTTCTTTGTTTAATATCTATTATATTTTATGAGATAGTACGTTTGAAAGCGTAGAGATACGTATATCAGTTGGCGCATTTAAAAATAAATCTTTGTTAAAATTAATTCAATTAGAATATAGTATTTTGTCGCACGAGATATAGACAAAAAAAACGTTTTATCTAAATTAGTACAATTACCAAAATTTTTACATCTATCTTATACATTGAATCTTATCTGATCGTAAATATTAAATTGAATAAACGGATAAATTCATTTCAAAAGTCAAGTAGACATGAAAATAATTTTCTAAGAAAATAGAGATAAATATCGTATAGAATCTTCTAAAAATATTTCAAAAAATACAAAGATGTATTAGTGATAGAATATATACGTAGAAGACGTTTTATGAACACATACGATAAGAAATATTTTCATTCTTCTATTTTTGTTTTAATATTAATATTTTTGATGAAGCTTTCCAAAGAAATTATTTTAAAAGAATGAATCAGGTCTATTTTTAAAATGATCTTATAAGAAAATTATTTGATAATGTATATTTAAGATATGTATATGTTAATGACTAATCTCGAATGAGCTAAAAACTTTATATTAAACATTTCATAAACTTCTAGATACATGTTTAATCATAATTCTAATTAGTGAAAAATTTTAAATCAATGATATTTGAGGTATAGCAATTACTAATGAAAGAACCAAAGGCACAAACGTTTTCAATTGTGTAATCGATTTTGAGTTCAAAATCAGTGCATATACGATAAATACCATTGACATATGAAAAATTTTATAAAGAATTTCCATTTGTTTTCTCTTCAGACTGATGAATGTTTTAATACAATTTTAGCTTATGACATAGTATATGCCAACAAATTTTCAGACAATATTTCGAGCTGAGGCTTACCTGATAAACAAATCTAGTGAAGAGTGACATAAATTTCAACTCGAAGCCATCTTTTCTGTTCTAAGTATAAAAACTTTCGAAACAACAAATAAAAATTTTGCTGTAGAAATAAACGCTTACTAAAATTTTAACATTTCTAAAAGGAAACATTTTTTTCAGTTAAAATTTTTAGTCTACTTTAGTCATTAATAGAGCTATTTGCTAATTAAATCTCATCTTGAAACATTGTTCTATGATATTTTGTTATATACTGTGGCATACTCCAAAATTTTAGTAAAAAATATTTATAATTCTCAACAGAAGGTCTATGAGAGATTTTTCTTTTCAAGTTTTTTCATCATTCGACGAGATTTTTCTTGTCTATCGAGTTAAAATTCAAAAGTGGTCAGATACTTTAAAACCCTATATCTAATTAAATAGAGGATAAACTGAAACATCTCATTGTGGTACATGAAGAAATCTTTGAACAAATAGTTTTAAAAGGAAAGCTTGTGAACAATTATCTGCTTATAAATTTTCAATTGATTAAAAACAGATTTTATATCAAATGAAAGAGGTAAAAACTTAACATATATTTATATTTAAAGATTTTATTCGAAAAAAAACAGTAAAACTTTAGAAGGAACTTAAGTGAAAATGAAAGAAGTATTTAAAACCATTTTGATTAATTTTTATTTGTTTATCAAATAAATGATAAATGAATATTGTAAATTTTTCAATAAATACTCTTTTATTTATTTTCAATTCTAGCTTTATTTGCTATTCAAGTAGCTTTAACGGCATTATGGAATTCTTGGGATATTTATCCAAAAGCAGTTATTGGACATTCAGCTGGAGAAATAGCAGCAGCATTTGTATGCGGAAAATTATCATTAAAAGAAGCAGTAAAAATAGTTTATTATCGTTCAATATTACAACATCGAAATACACGTCAAAATGGTCGTATGTTAGCTGTATCGATAAGTGAATCAGATGCACGTTTATTATTAAATGGCGTTGAAAATCATGTTTCAATAGCTGCTATAAATAGTCCAGAATCTGTTACATTAAGTGGTGATAATCGCGTATTAGAAGAATTATATAATATTCTTAGTATACAAAAATCAAATGTATTTAAAACATGGTTAAGAATTGAAAATGCTTTTCATAGTCAACAAATGGAACGGTTTCATATTCGTGAAGATCTAATGAATTATTTAACTGATATTAAAGGATACAATGTTGAACAATCAGAATTATTTGATATAAATTATTTAAATACTTATCACTATTCAACTGTTACAGGTAATCGTATAGATAATAAAAACTTTCAATTTAATGCTCAATATTGGTGGAATAATATAAGACAAACAGTTTTATTTTCTCATGGTATTAAATCAATTGTAAATGATTTTGCTAAAAATTCAAATCTAACATTTATTGAAATTTCTCCACATCCAGTTTTATCAGCATCAATTGGAGAATGTCTTAGTTTATTTTCATCATCTGTATCATCATCACTAACTTTACCTTCACTTAATCGTAAGGAAAATGAACAACAAACAATATTAACATCATTATCACGATTACATAAAAGTAAATGGGATAAATTTTTTAAATCACGTTCTTATTCAAATCTCATCAATGTACAAGATCATAATAAAAATGATATAATAAAATTAATTCATTCTTGTATTCAACAATTACCATCTTATGCATTTAATCATAATATTTATTGGTATGAAACAAAAGATTCAGTATTTACAAGACGTGCAATAAAAACTCAATATCATCCATTACTTGGTATTCGTTTATGGCATAATGAATCAATAAATCCAACATGGAAAAATCAAATTATAATTAGTAATAAAAATCATGAATTAATTCAAGATCATATTATTCAAGGAAATATTTTATTTCCTGGTTCAGCTTTTATTGAATTAGCTATTGCAGCTATAAATGAATTATCCTCATCATCAAATATGTCATTTTCACTTGAAAATATTCAATTTTTAAGTGCACTTTTATTGAAAAAAAATGAAATAAATGAAATTCATACAATAATTGTGATGCCATATCAACAATTTTTAATTTATAGTCGTTGTAATCATTCCAAAGATTGTGTACGTACAAGTGGTATTAGTGGAAATGATATTGATACAAATAATGATGAATTATTTCATAATAATAAAATTTTAAATGAATATTCATTAAAACAATGGACTTTACATGCACAAGGTACAATAAATACAAAAATTGATATTTCAATACAAAATTCACTTAATAATATTAATTTAATTTTAAATCGTTTTAAAAATCTTGAATATTTAATAGAAAATGAAAATGAAATAAGAAAATTTTATTCATATTTATCTCGTCGTGGTTATAATTATGGATCATATTTTCAAGGTATTAAATCTATAAAACGAACACGTTCAAAAACATTAGCAGAAATATGTCTACCTTCAATATTTTTACAATTAAATAAAGAACAACAAAATGATCAAGAAAAATATTATTTACATCCTGTATTATTAGATATATGTATACATACTGTATTAAGTATTCTTCCAGGTAATGATACATTTGTACCGAACTCAATTGAAAAAATAATTTATTATCAACAACTTACACCAAAACTTATATTAAATGAAAATATTTTTATTTATAATTCATTTCGAATGCCTGTACGAGGTGTTACAATAGAAGAGAATTATATAACAGATATTGTCATATTTACATCATCATCTATAATTGCAAATATATCAGGAGTTAATTTTCGACAAATTCCATCCAATGAATCGATTCAATCACAAACAATATTTGAAAAACTTGATAATTATATTTTTAATCCAATTAATAATAATAGTCTTGATATTAATCAAGTTATACAACGTTATTGTCAAGAAAAACAATGGAGACAATGTCACTTAATTGAATCATTATTAATGAAATATTTAATAACACCTAATGATATTTTAAACTCATCTATTGATATTGTTTATGATGATGATAATAATCATAATAATAATAATAATAAAATTGAAAAAATAAAAGATATTCGTTTAGAAATAATAAATGGTATATCACAAATAGATAAGAATATAAATCAATCGAAAACAATTGTTACTGAACTTGGTACGCGTTATGTTGTTGTTTTATTTAAAAGATTATTAAATAATCAAATTGAATTTTCACAAACATATATTCAATCATTAATATCATCTAAACATTATAAATTAATGAATTCATTATTTGTTCTTCTTGAAAATTATGATTATATTAAAAAATTAGATGAAAATAATTCATGGAAATTTATTCAAGATATTAATACAATTAATGAATATACAAATAATTTGTTATTAATGAAAATTTTACATGAATTTCCTCATTTAAATTGTTTCACATATATTCTTTCATCATGTGGAACGAAACTTTTTGAAATTTTAACTGATCAATTAGAACCATTACAAATATTATTTTGTTCAGAAAATGAAAAATATCTTCAAGAACTTTATTCTCTTATATCAAAAACATTAACGAAATTAATATTTACATCTTTGTGTTCTTGTTTTAAAATAAATATCAAACATAATAATAGTAATAAAAATATATTAAGAATATTAGAAATAGGTGCTGGTACAGGTGGATCAACGATATTTATTCTTAATATTTTACTTGATTTTGCAAATAGTACACAAACAATAATTGAATATACATTTACTGATGTATCTGTTGCTTTTTTTACTAAAGCTCAACAACGATTTGCTAAATTATTAGAAGAAAAGAGTCAAAATAATTATTTAATTATTAAATATGAAACATTTGATATTGATCAAAATTCATTACATCAACAAAATATGTTTTCAGAATCTTACGATATTATATTTGCCGCTAATGTTATTCATGTAGCAACAAATATTGTCGATTCTGTTTCTAGTCTTCGACAATTACTTGTACCAGGGGGTTTATGTATTTTACTTGAACTTACAATAGAATCATTATCATTTTTAGATTTAACATTTGGTTTGCTTCCACAATGGTGGAATTTTAGTGCAAATGATCCTATTCGAAAACCATTTCAACATGCAATTATAACATCTAATCAATGGATTGAAACATTTCAACTAGCAAAAGGTTTTGATTCCATTGAAGTTGTATCTACATCGAACGGTGATATGAGTACAATTATTGCTCAAAAATCAACAAAACAACCAATATTAAAAGATCTATCGGAAAGATTTCAACAAGCATGGTTAATTTTTAGTGATAATAAACAAAAATTTGGTTGGAAAATTGCAGAAAAATTACAAGATGAATTTTTCGAAAAGAATATAACGATTATTTCATATAAAAATAATGATGAAAATTCGTACAATTTCAATACTTATAGAGTTGATAATCTATCTGATATAAAAAAATGTATTCAAGATATTTTATTGAAATATTCATTATTAAATATTATATTTGCTTGGACACTTGATTTAGAAAATTTAAATGAGGATGATGAAATTTCTTTAACTCATGATAAACTTAAAGAACAAGAAGAATTAGGATGTGTTTCGTTAATGAATATAGTTCAATCAATTTCTTCATTACAACCGGATATTATACCAAATATATTTGTGCTAACACAAGATGCACAATTTGATATTGAAAATAAACTACAATTCAATTATTGTCAATCTTCAATAATTGGTTTTGCAAGATCTATTATTAAAGAATATGCTACAAATCGTTTTCGATTAATTGATATTCCATTAAAATTTCAATCAAATATTATTGACAGATTATTAAATGAATTTCTTCATTGTAATAATAGTTTATACGAAGAAGAAGTTTTATTACGTTATCATGAAGAAAATAATAATATTATTAGAATGATATCACAATTTGAAAAAATAATTGAAAATAAACAAGAACAAGAATTTGAAAATAAAATAATAATTCCAAATCGTGATTCAAATTCAATAGCATTTAAATTACAAATATCAAAAACATTATTTTTATCTGATCTCCAATGGATTACATTTGATCGAAATGCATTTATAATTTCACCTGATCAAATTGAAGTAAAAATTCATTGTGTTGGAATTAGTTTTCGAGACGTTTTAAAAGCACGCGGTTTATATCCTCATATTCGACAATTTGCTGTTGAATATGCAGATCAAGAAGCTAATGCTCGAGATGAAGAAATTGGTTTTGAATTTTCGGGTACAATTACTCGTCTTGGTTCAAATGTACGTAAAGGTTTTCAAGTAGGAGATCGTATTTTTGGTAAAACCATTGAAAGTGGTACGTTTAAATCTCATATTATTGTTGATAAATATGCTATTGTTCATGCACCAGAAAATCTTACCATGGAAGAACTATGTACCATACCAGTAAGTTTTTTAACAGCTGTTTATGCTCTTTATGAACGTGCTAATTTAAAACCTAAACAAACAGTATTAATTCATGCAGCAACAGGTGCTGTTGGTTTAGCATTAATTCAATTATGTCGTAGAAGAAATGCTAAAATTATTGCAACAGCTGGAACAGAAGAAAAACGAAAATATCTTCGTGATATTTGTCAAATTGAATATGTATTTAATAGTCGTGACTTATCATTTGTTGAAAATATTCGTCAGATATTTCCAAATGGAATTGATATTATAATTAATTCATTAGCTGGAGAATTTTTACAAGAATCAATTAAATTACTTGCACCTCATGGACATTTTGTTGAAATTGGAAAACGAGATGTTTATTCAAATTCAAAATTACCATTATTTCAATTTCGAAATGATTGTTCATCACATATAGTTGATTTATTTACGTTAGAAAAATATCAAAAAGAAAAAACACATCACTTACTTCAAGAAATTTCAAATGAAATTAACCAAGGATTATTAACTCCTATTAAACCAATGACAATTTTTGAACCATCTCAAGTCATTCAAGCTTTTCAATTCTTTAGTCAAGCTACTCATTTAGGAAAATTAGTTCTTCGAATTACTCAATCTGATCAAGAATTAAATATTATTGATGTTAAACAGGATACCAATAAAAATTCTGTGCAAATAAGTATGTAAAAAAATTTCTTTTTTTGTTTTGATAGAGATAAAAAAGTAGAGTATTCTTTTCTTTATCAGTCTATATAGAAAGAAACTTTTTTAAATCTTTTTATAAAGAATTACAATATCTACATTACTACTTTTCATATGACCTAAGTAGTAGTGGCGAAGTCGGAATTTCGGTCTAGGGAAATCTGAGCTCCATATTCATTGTCCAAAGTCTGTACAGTTAGTACAAGATTTTTTCCGTGCGTTTTCAAACTCGATGCAGTATTTTGCTTCCTAATATTCTATTTAATCACTTATTGCTCATGTGTTTTTTATATGAAGACTAGACCATAAGTCAAGCAACAGTTTTTTTTTCGGTTTCTTTCCTACATATCATCATCATTTAGGGCTCATTCTTATACCACAGATATATCTTTGATTACTTAACTTACTCTGAAAGTCTCAGCACTATAGAATGAAAATTCGTTGAGAAAAGTACAAATATGTTTCATGTACAGGGTGTATAAATATATTTTGTTAGGGAAATAACATTATATTTTCAAATAGCATTCATAACAAATTTTATACCAACTTAAAGTCCGTCAAAAATGGGATTTATTAATCCTAAATAATAAGGGCTATGACAAGCTTTCAGTGTCAAGTTCAGAAAATTCCTAGAATATTACGGCATATGACTATAGGGAAATCTATTTTCATGCGGAAATTCAAGTTGAATCTAATCTAAAATGATGAATATCTCAAAACAATACTTATCCTTTCAACGATTGATAAGTGTAGTCAATAATTAACATGAGAACTATTAGTATTCTTTACGGCACGGAGATAAAGCGGATGTCAACATAATAGAATTTTAGATAACATAATACTTGTTGTTATGTTTGTCAAAATGTCTGAAACGTATGTTTTTTTGCGAGTTTATTCACGATGACGATTATGTTTCGTCTCTAATAGCATTGTTAATTTCATTCTATATTATGGTTGCTCCAATATTTCTAGATCAGGTGTCGATTGCCTTGTAATATTCATCATTTTAGATCAGATTCAACTTGAATTTCCGCATGAAAGCAGATTTTCTATAGTCATATGGTGTAATATTCTAGGAATTTTTCTGAACTTGACACTGAAAGCTTATCGTAGCCCTTACTATTTAGTATTCATAAATCCCATTTTTGATGGATTTTAAGTTGGTATAAAATTTGTTATGAATGCTATTTGAAAATACAACGTTATTTCCCTAGCAAAACATTTTTACACACTCTGTATATTGCAACTCTTTAGTAGCAAAAGCTTAACAATCTAAATGGAGCTAAAATTTTTTAGGGAAAGCTCGGAAGTTTCTAGACGGAGCTCAGCTACTGGTAACTCCGCCACTACTAAATAGAATAAAAGTCTTATAGTTGTTCAAAATATGTTTCAGTAAAAAAAAAGAAAAAAAAAGCAATTAGTTCATTTACGGATGGATGCGTTACAGTCAAAATTAGAATTCTAAAGATTACCGGTTAATGTTGGGATTCTAATTTTGACCAGATTGTTTTTGCATAAAATTGAAATTTCAGTTTTGTCCGGAGGAAATGAGAATCGGAATAGAAATCAATCGGATGACGTATGGGCGTGTGATTTGGTTTCTGAGCTAGTGAGTGTAGTTGTTCTGGTACAGGTGTGAATCTTTTTTATCCTATACGCATATTGGCGCTGATCAGTTCTGTCAGATAGCCGAATCCAAAATGCGGAATGCAAATCTTAGAATCTGTAAATTTTGAAATTACGAAGACTTTTAAGGATTAATTTCAACTAGCTAAATAAAATTCTTCTCAGCCACATTATTAATAGTGTTATTCTTCATCGTCATAAGATATATTTCAGTAAGGAAAAGAGAATAAATAGCAAGATATAATTAACTTTACGAATAATTACTCATAAAAGTATAAAATTTGCATACTATGGGCTATTTAATTTCAGTCTGAATTTATCAAATAAAAATAATACTTGATTTCAAACTGAAACGTGAGTCTAGGAGTGAGGGGGGAGTGACTGAGGGTGTGGGTGTTGGTCTGGGACCCACACACACACCCACACCCATGGTGCGGGTGTGGGCGCGCGAGTGAGGGTGAGGGTGTGCTTGTGGCTTTGTGTACTATAGGCTTTAGTCCCCTGCACAAGGGACTAAGCGGGGACTAAGCTTTTTGTGGGGGGGACTAAGGGGGACTTTGCAGGACTAGGGGGGACTAAGGGTTTTTAGTGGGACTACGTAGTATCAAACGAGAAAAGTTTGATTCGGAAGAAATTGGTGCGGTTTTTTTGATTTTAGAATTCAGTTTGAAATAAAAAAGCCCATAGACTCAAAATTTGATACTAAGGACGTGGATATAGATCCACACCCAAATCTTATATTTGCTGCTTTGTTTTTATTGAAGATTCTGCAATAGTAAGAGAGAGAGGTGAATGTAAAATATATATTATATTATTCATTTATTTTACTGTCGTTGAACAAGATAAAAACTAGAAGCTATACGTGAAAATGAAGAAACAACAATTGGTTCTTTTAGCCGATCGATAGAAGAAGAAATAAAACTTCCTTCATATTATTGATATATTTTTACAAATATTACCAGACAAGTGAAATCTGATTAAAATATAAAGTATCCGAAATCTAAATTTTTCATACAAAATCCGAAAGATTTCACGATACTGATTCATATCCATCCACATCCTATCCAAAAAATTTCTAGTCGAATTCTAATTTTGTCCGATCAAAGTTAGAATTTGATCAGATTCTAATTTTGACCATGATAAATATGTACAATGAAAAATAACTAAATTTTTCATGCCAACGTAAAAATAATTTAATAATAGTTTTTTCTCAATCGAAAATGTTCATACTGATATTTAAAATTTAAAAGTATTCTATATTTATCATCCAGATAAATATAGATAATACGATAGAATTTATCTATATATTGCGTATATCATGAAATAGCTGCGTGATTCAAGTTTGACAAGGCATGAATTTTTTGAAAAACTTACTGTTATCTACGTAGTATAAGCAAAAAAAATTAAAAGTTCTCAATATATGAATTCTTATTCAGTTAATGACATGTCTTTCTTAATAGGAAAGAATCATCATACATATCCTTGATCTCAAAATTTTTCAAGTTGTTCTCATATTTCTTTATTAAATGAATATTTCAATGGAGGTGAAAATTATCAAATAATTGCTTAAATTTTCAAAAAAAAAACACAAAAATAGATTGTCAGTAATTGTAAATTGTCTTTTGATATTTTATTTTATAATCATTGACATATCATGGTATTGTTTGATTGTAATTTAACAATACATTATTTATCTAATGATTATTTCATGAAGATAGTGATATCACATATGATAATTAAAATTCATTTGAAAAATTAAATATAAGATATAATTATAATATTATTCGTAATCTAATAGATAAAAAAGAAAAAGAAAAATCTAGTTAAGATAGTATTGAATTTTTTTTTAATAATTTAAATATTACCTGTCTAAAATAATTTTGAAAATTCGTTTAAAGTCATATGTTTCAAATTAAGAATGTATGAATCTTTCAAATAAACTCTAAATAACTAAATGTAAAATCTATAGAACATTAGCAAATTTTTCTAATTTTGCTCTTAATAATATATTTTTCATATTTATTCATTTTTGTTTTTCATAGATTCAATGTTTTCGGATTTGATATGTACTAAGGGAACAATTGTAATTAGTGGCGGTCTTGGTGGTCTTGCTATTGAAATGTCAAAATGGATGATAAAGGAATATCATGTAAAAAGAATAGTATTGATGGCACGAAAAACAATAGAAGAATTGGAAGAAAATAGTCCTCAATTAAGAGATTGGAAATATTTACATCAAATTGCACAAAAATATGAATCATTTGTGGAGCTTGTTAAAGTTGATGTGACGAAATTTGATCAAGTTTTTAATGCTATTCAACGAATCAATAAAACAGAATATCCTGTACGAGGTATTATACATACTGCGATGGCTCTTCATGATACATTAATAATGAATATGACACAAGAAATGTTAACTAAAGTTATGAGACCTAAAATTCATGGTGCTTGGAATTTACATCATGCAATACAAATAACAAAATCTCCGATTCATTTCTTTATTATGTTTTCCTCGGTTCAAAATCATTGTTTAACTGAAATTGGTCAATCGAATTACAATGCTGGTAATAACTTCTTAGATGCACTTGCTTATTGGCGGTTTCATTGCAAAAAACTTCCTGCTCTCTCAATTAGTCTACCTGTTATTTCAGGTGCTGGATACGCTCATAAGAATGTTGAAAGTGCACAATTATTACGAGATTATGCAGTTCCAGCAACTTATATGTTTAAAATGATCGAAGAAATTCACAGAAAACAACAAATATCATTAAATATAACTGCACCAATTGTTTTCTTGATTAAATGGAGTAAAGTATTGAAAGGAAAAAATTTATCTAAAAATCTTCAACACATTGCTGAAGAATTTATTGAAATTGAAAAGACAGAAGGATCATTAATAGATAAAAAAACAAATTTAACAAATGAAATCAATTCAACAGATATTTTAACAAAAATTCATAAAGCTGTTTCAGAATTATTCGGATCATTAAGTATTGATCGTGTCGATCTAGATAAACCACTAATTCAACAAGGTATGGATTCGTTGGTTGCTGCTCAACTTCATAATTGGTTAGGAAAACAATTGCATATTTTTCTTTCGGTTGTTGAAATTTTACATGGTATGTCAATAAATGATATTGCAAAATATGTTTATTCAAAATCACTCAAAGATAATATTAGTACTATAAATATTACTATTGATGACAATATATCTTCTAGAATTGAAAAGAAAAATGAAAATGAATCATATAATAATAATAATAATAATAATAATGAAATTGATATTATTGATAATGAATCATCATTGAATAATATGGATTCAGATGAAGTATTATATACAGAAAATTTATCTACAAATATTCATCAATATTTAAAATTAAGTCAAAGAACATCATTAGCACAAGAAAGAATATATTTACATGAAAGAATATATTTTGATCAAGAAAACTCTACAGCAATTTATAATGTTCCATTTCTATTAAAAATTATTCATGGTACGATATCAGTAAAAAAATTACGTATAGCTTTATTCAAATTAATTAAAAAAAATCTTGTATTACGTACAGGAATTAAATATTCAATGGAAGATGAATATCTCAAACAATATATTAAACCAATGAATGAATATATTGATGATAATAATTATATTATTGATAATCATCAAGAATATTATTCATTTCAAATGAGTAATATATCAAAACAACAAGAATTAGAACAAATATTAATTAATGAAAGAAAAACAAAATATTTTGACATTGAATCAGGTCTTGTTTTGAGATGTCACATTATTTTTCATGAATCATCAAAAAGAACAATCGATAATGATAATTTAATTCTTAGTGTAAATGATTATATTATATTTAATATTCATCATATTGGTAAGTTACTATTACAACATTAAAGAGTGAATATAAGAATTTTTGATTAAGTTCAAATATGAAGGAGATTTTAAATAAAAGTAAAATCAGACTTAGACTTACCCAGGAAGAAGTGAAACGCTAAAAATGCCGTTTAAACTGTCATAATCACCCGTTCTGTTAGGAAACGGTGATAAACGGCAAGAAAAAACGTGATCATTACTTTTCTTGCCGTTTTTACGTCTAATCAGCGTTTCCAAGCGTTATTCACATTAAATAGTCTCTGAAACGGTTATATAAGTCATTTTCTTCTTCGTACAAGATAGTGAGAAATGTTTATGATCATCTTTTCCAACGAAAACAGCTGTAAATGCTCAAAGTAGATTAATCTTTTTTTTTGGGACTGGTTTCCATAATTATTTATATTCTCGTGAATTTGTATTTTTTTATTGTTTCACAGTACGTGTGAAAGACATTTAGTCCGTTTGGAGCTTTCATTTATCTTTTGATCTGCTGAATTACTTCAAAAAAGTATTCGCTGTAGATTTAATTATGTGAAAAAGAGTTCCTTTGATTAAAGTAAGAATCTGCATAACATTGACATCATATGAATCAAAATCATGTGTTGGTGCCAACATTAGAATATCGAGAAAATACAGGTTGATTTTATTGATTTAAAGTCTCAATTTTCACAGTGAAATCCTAATTTTTTGATCATGTTCAAAGCTCGGGACGTACGATAAATTATAAGTTCCTAATATTCTCAAACATAAAATTGCTGCATTAGAGTTTTCATCACAAATTATCAACTCATCAGTATATGAGCTAATTGAAACTCGTTTTATGACAAGCAATACAACATTATTAATTATGAGCTACATAATCCAATTAGAAACTCTAGCCAAGTCAAAAGAGAGTAATATTGTCAGTTAATATATATTCGACAAATGTATGTGGCATAAATAGAACGGATCTCATATGCTTAGTAATTGATTGTTAGTCTTAATCAAATTGGAGAGATAGGAAAGCAAAGGGAAGAAAAGAAAAATTTAAGTCAAGAAGTAAAAGAAAAAATTCAGAGAAGAGGAAGGAAAAAAGAATAAAGTTAGAGAAGGACAAAAGAGAAAATAAATTCGTCCAGCAGATTCTTTGATCTTGGTGGAAAATGTCGAAAAGAAAAACGTCGAAAGAGAAAAAAACTCAGAAAAAATAGGAAGAGGAAAACATCGAAAAAAAAATTCCTTTGGGGGGAAAACGTCGAATTAGAAAAAATAGAAGAGGAAAATATCGAAAAGGAAAACATCGAAGGGGAAAATGTCGAAACAATTAATCTATTGTCACAGTTAATGATTATGAATGATGTTGCTTTATTATGTTAGAAAAAAGAAAATATTCATAATATAGCATAAAATGTTTTTTTTTCTTCCCAACCAACAATGATAAACCTGATAAAAGTTCATTTGTGTTAATTTGCTGTTGGAGGAATCTTTCCCGTAGAGTATCAAATCTCGTTTGAAAAGCTTTGGTTTTTTTCGATTGTTTCGGTGCAGAAGCACCAGCCTCTAGTTGAATTAAAATATGTTCAAAACGAACATGTTCGCTTTGGATCAATTGTATAAAGCTCCAAATATTCGGATGCTTTTTCGATAACCGGCTTGCAAATCTGAGGTTGTAAGCTAAAGTATAAATAATAAAATGCAGTGATTCGAAACACAACAGACGGAAAGCTGCAGTATTCTGACCTTCTGAGGTGTCATTTGTTCGATGATGAGCATAAAAAAAATTCCACATTTGAATTGGAATCACATTTTTTAAATCACATTTTCTATACCATTTCCATTTATAGCTTTCGATGTTTTCCTTTTCGCCATTTTCCTTTCTTGTTTTTTTTATTTCGACATTTTCCTCTTCGACATTTTCCTTTTCTACGTTTCTTTCGGCGTTTTCCTCTTCGACGTTTTTCTTTTCGACGTTTTCCACCAACCCCGATTCATTCAGTCATTCGATGAAGATTGCTTAATAAGTAAACATCACTTCTGCGAGCGATGTGAATGCACACAAAGATAAGATACATGAATGATATCTGAATTTAATCTAAAATACTATTCAGATTACGAAGAAATTCACATATTTACTGTATACGAATTGTGAATAAGGATTCTCATTGACCGTTGGTCGAGCTTAGAAAACATGAGCAAAAAAATTCAGATAACTCTAATAGAAGAAGTCTTCAGAATTGAACGATGTAGAGGATTTAGTTTCACCTTACGTTCTGCGTTTATTTTTGCTATTTCTTAGGATAGTATTTGTGGAAAACTGTCTTGTACATTCTATCGAGATAGTTAACAAAATACGATATTCGTAGAAAAAATATATAATATAGAACTTATTTGTCATTTGGTAGCATCACATTCTATAATAAAATCATTTGTGAAACTAAGCTATTTAACATTTTTTTCAATTAATTTCTTAAGATCAATCAGTGTAACGTTTCGTTCTAACTAAGAACATTATCAAACACAAATAAATAGACAGAAGAAGAATATATATAAGAGTAAAATAATGTCATCGTTTTTTATTCTATTGTTTTAAGCATTTCAATGCACGGGGGGAGTAAAAATGATCCGTCTGCATTAGAATGTTTAAAACAATAGAATAGAAAAACGAAGACATTATTTTACTCTTATATATATTCTTCTTCTCTCTATTTATTTGTGTTTGATAATGTTCTTAGTTGGAACGAAACGTCACACTGATTGATCTTATAAATCAATTGAAAAAAATGTTAAATAGCTTAGTTTCATTAATGATTTCATTTTAGAGCTTGTTATTTTACTGAGTTCGTCGTCGATTGAAACTCTTACGCGAAGAAACTTTAACTTTTTAACTCTTATACCATAAAAAGAATATAATGCTGAGTATATATTCCGTTTTCAGTATAAATCTTAAAAGAACAACTAGATGATAAATATGTACATGTCATAAAGATTACAGTAATCAAATAAAAAACTTAGCTGCTCTATTAACTTTTGTAGCAATAACTTATTTTTTATCTACGACAGACGACTGTTAAAGAATGAGAAAAAAATAGTCTCAACAATGAATAAATTTTAGAAGTACGTCAATAGTATTGCTGTTCAATATTTTCTTTTGATAAAATGTACCAAAAAATTGACATCGTTTTATCTATGGTAGTTTTCCCCTAGAATTTTTCGTTTGTCGTATCAATTCATTAATTCTTCTTAAAAATCTAAGTTTCATTATCACATACATATCTGATACTAATAAACTAATTTAGATTCTTCTTTCATTATTCATCGAGATTATCATAAATCACAACTTTGTAACTAATTATATATTTCTCCATAGATATTAGAATAAACTAGACTTGAGAATTCATAACGAAAACTTGAGAAGATTTCAATAGAATATTTATCAGATGTAAGACAAACGCATCACCCTTGAGCGATCGACAAATCTCTAATTACCTACGAAGAGTATAGAAAAAAAAAACTTTGAAAAACGATCGATGTGTCAGAAGAAAGAGTGTAGTCAGGTTTTTGTAATATCTAAACGCATTCTAATGAGCAGGTTTCATTTTGTTTTCGAAAAAGCAGAAGTTAAATTTTCAACAAGTTAAAATATTTATTTAAAGAAATGAAAGTTCATGCATCTTTAAAACTTAAGGCGTGAGTAGAAGTCTTTTGAACAAATATCAAAACAAAAAGAAAAGTTTGTAGAAAAGACTTCTACTCATGTCTAATGTTACATAGATGCCGAACTTTTATTTCTTTAAATAAATATTTTAACTTGTTAAAGATTTAGCTTATGCTTTTTCGAAAACAAAATGAGACCTACTCATTGGAATGTATTAAGATATTGAGAAAAAGTACGAACTTGTATTGTCCATCGTCAAATTAATAAAATTAGATGAATGGTCAAGTTACAAGTAAGACGAAGATGATTCTTGAATATTAAACCTTTTTTTCGAGTAAAGAACCGTTTACGACATATGAAATAATAAAAAATGATGGTTTTAACGTCAACGAATCACTATTTATGACATTTACAATTCAAATGTTAAACGGCAAGAGCATAATATTACTTTATGACATACAAAATCGTTTTTTGTGATAAACGCGTAATTTGGTCAATATATCATCGTTTAAACGATATAACATTAAACATCGTTTTAACGACGGAATAGCGTTTCCTCAACTAACTGGGTACTGGAAACAAACAAGTCAATATAATGAAATTGCGTCAGAATAGTATTCAATTATGAATAAACATATACATCAATATGAAAAGAAATTCTCAGCAGATCATTATTGTTTTTCTCGATCTAGTGTATGTTTAACTGATAATAAAGAGATGATTATCGAGTGATTAGTTTTTGTTAGTACTCTTTGACTATTCAATAAATCTAGAGGAATCTTAATCAGTATGACAATCGTCGAACTTCAAATAGTGATTATCTCATATCACTCATTGTTTTTAGAAATCGACTTTCAATATATATTTAAAGTTTGTAAATTAGAAAAAAATTCAAACGTAGAAAAATAAGCGAAATTAGTGGATAGAAATACTAAAACACAGACAGTAATAGATGATGCAATGGAATCCAATACAAGAACAATAAAGTATAGAATCTAAGTATCAAGGGTAAAATAGCAAGAACAACGAACTCTGTATCTCATATTTATATTCTATAATAAAATTAGGATAAGAAAGTTGTAATTTTAAAATTTTTACCTTCAAAGATATTATATAAAACAAATAAATAAAATTGTGTCTTTTTAATAGCTATCGATGCTAATTCAGTAAAAACATTCATCCAAGATTTGAAAGATGCTTATATAGAAGAAAATATGAAAATTAATCCTAGTGAATATTTTCAATATATTGATTATTCAAAAAACGAATGGGAAATGTTAAATGATGAATCATTTGATTCAACTATGAATCAAGCACGTCAATATTGGATGGAATTATTAAATGGATATGACATTGATAAACAATTACAATTACCATATGATAAGCAATTAAATTCAATCCGAACAAATTCTGGTTCATCATTACAATTTAAATTAGATAAGAATGTTGTTTTACGTATAACTGAATGTGCACAAAGTATAAATGGAAGTGTATTTCAAGTTTGTTTAACATGTTACTATATATTTCTATTTAAATTAACAAAAAATAACGAAAAAGATATATGTATCGGTAGTTTTGTTGCAAATCGATACAAACAAGAATTTGAAAATTTAATTGGTTATTTTGTTAATACATTACCTTATCGTTTATTTGTTGATCCAAATTTATCATTCTCAGAAATACTATTACAAGTTCAACACTTATGTTTAAATATATTGAAATATTCTTATTTACCATATCAAGAAATAATTAAATTACATCGTCATACAACTATGAATATAAATGAAGAAAAATCATCTATATCACTACCATTTATACAAACAGTATTTTTATTTATATTATCAAATAAATATAATAATACTATTAATTTAGAACAAGGTGAATTATCTGTTATAACTGATGAAGACTTTGGTATTGATAAAAGTATTTCATTGTATGATTTAACTTTATCAATGAAATATGATACATTGAATTCAACAATAATATGTTCATTTGATTATTCAACTGATTTATTTGAAAGAAAAACAATTGAAAATTTATGTGAACGTTTTCAAATATTATTAAAACAACTATTTTTAACATCATTTGATATTGAAAAACAATCAATTTATAATTTATCAATATTATTACCACATGAAAAACAATAAGATAACATGGATTTTTGTACACGAAAAATAAAAAACACCAATAAGTTGCGCAACATAATGAATTAAAATCTATCTATCCATATATATGTATATATATAAAGAAGAAAGTTTGTTTGTTTGTTCTTCATGCATTTGAACACAGTACGAGCAAATGCAACGAAACTTTCCAGGAACCATCCTCTCATCCAGGAGAAGATAAACATCTACTTTTTTTCCAAAAAGAGTTGATCCTTCGCCTGGAAAAAGCCTGCCTATGTTACTAACCAATCAGATTGCAGTATTCGGTACTGTAGAAGTACTGTTGAGCGCCACTTCGTGAACACACAGAAACATGGAACCAGAAGTTTTCGAGGATGGTGAGTTCGAATGTGGGGTCCATTTGCCTCGAAATCTGATTGGTTGTCCCGAAACCAATAGGAACTCAGCTCTTAAGAAAACAGACAAAAACACTTACACTTCCAGGAAAATGAGGGGGCAGGTGGTTTTTGGACGTGATAAGTTCGAATCTGTTGTGAGTGTGGATGGGTGTGGGTGTGGGTGTGGGTATGGGTGTGGATGTGGGTGTGGGTGTGGGTGTGGGTGTGGGTGTGTGGTGGTGTGGGCCTGTGTGAACCTTTACTCTTCGTGTCTACAGCCACACCTACACCCCGGCCGGTCGCCGGTAGACCAGTCAATTATCTGTAGACCAGCCGATCACCAGTTGACCAGTCGTATCCAATATACCGGTCATCATCGATCTACCTTATTCACTTTAGTGTTTTTATTATCTCATAAATAATGCTAACGAACTTTTATTGATGGTCCGCTATGTAAAAAATTATTATCCAGATCTGGAATCGCCATCTACAAGCAGTCGGTACGAATTTAAGATTGGTCGATCTTCCCGTATACCAGTCATTACTGCTAGACCGGCCGATCCGATCCGATCTGACTTTTTCAGACCGCTGCCAGTAACGGTCGTCAAAAATCTAGACTGGTTCCATCTCTGACCTATTCATATTTTATATTGCTATTTTCTTTTTGCCTTTTCTACGAAAGAACACAACAAGAAATTTTGCAGTAAAAATTTAGTATTCGGCTTCATCTGATGCATCAGTGTTCTTTTGTCTATAGTAGCAATTCCCACAATATTGCTTGCAGGCTTCTGCTAAATAGATGTATCAAATGCTATATTCATAGAAAATTCAAAACTACGCATATAATACGACAGACCTTAGTACTTCGCTGTTTTACAATAACGCGTTCTTCTGAAATAAATTGTACAATAAAAATCATGATCGTATGAGTAATTTTTCTCACTTACAACAGGTGCAACAGATCAAAAACCAACTTAAATGAGTTCTTTTTTCTCCTTTCTTTCTTCTTCGTCTTTTTTCCTCTGCTTTTGCTTCTTCCTTTCTCTTTCTTATTTTCCTTCGTATTGTTTTTCTTTTCTTCCATTTTTCTTCTACAACCCAGCAAGTCAATATCAGTATTCGTCATAAGCATATTAACTAGCAGGAGCTAAATTTCGACCATATATGATATTTATTTCAACCAGAGCTATCTTCTCCTTCTCTTTCTTCTAAATCTGTATTATTTTTAAAATTTGCTGAATGAAACATAATACGTTATCTAGCCTTGTTTCATAGGTAAATAAGGATATCCATCTTT